GGGGCGGGAGGTGGGATGGGTGGGGTGGATGGGGGCGGGGGGATGGGTGTGGGGTGTGGGGGGAGGGTGGATGGGGGGTATGGGTGGGGTGGGGGGTGGATGGGTGTGTGGGGTGGGGGTAGGGTGGGTGGGCGGGGGTTGGGGGGTGGATGGGTATGGGTGTGGGGGGTGGGGGGTATGGGTGTGGGTGTGTGTGTGGGGGGTGGTGGGGGTGGTGGTATGGGTGTGGGGTGTGGTGTGTGTGGGGGTATGGGTGTGGGGTGGGTGGGGTGGGGGGTGTGTGGGGTGGGTGGGGGGGTGGGTGGTGGGTGGGGTGGGTGGGGTGTGTGGGAGGGGTGGATGGGTGTGTGTATGGGGGGGTGGGGGGGTGGGGTGGGGGGGTATGGGTGGGGGTGGATGGGTGGGGTGGATGGGGGATGGGGTGTGTGGGGGTGAGGGTGTGGGGTGGAGGGTGGGGTGTGGGGGTGGGGGTGTGTGGGGTGGGGGTGGATGGGTGTGTGGGGTGGGTGGGGTGGGGGGGTGGATGGGTGTGTGTGGGGTGGGGGGTATGGGTGGGGGTATGGGTGTGGGGTGGGGTGGGGGGGATGGGTGTGGGGGGGGAAAGGGGGATGTGTGTGTGGGGGTGGATGTGTGTGTGTGTGTGGGTGTGTGTGTGTGGGGGGATGGGTGTGTGTGGGTGTGTGTGTGGGGGGGGGGAGGGGTGGATGGGTGTGTGTGGTGGGGGTGGTGGGGGTGGGGTTGTATGTGTGTGTGTGGGGGGGTGCATGTGTGTGGGGGTGGATGGGGTGTGTGGGGGGTGGATGGGTGTGTGTGTGTGGTGTGTATGTGTGTGTGTGTGTGTGTGTGTGTGTGTGTGTGTGTGTGTGTGTGTGTGTGTGTGTGTGTGTGTGTGTGTGTGTGTGTGTGTGTGTAATGTGTGTGTGTGTATTTAGATCTTGTGTGTGTGTGAGTGTGTGTGTGTGTATTTGAGTGTGTGAGTTGTGTGTGGTGTTTAGATCTTTGTGTGTGTGTGTATTTAATTTAGATCTTGTGTGTGTGTGAGTGTGTGTGTGTGTATTTAGATCTTGTGTGTGTGTGAGTGTGTGTGTGTGTATTTAGATCTGTGTGTGTGTGTTGAGTGTGTGTGTGTGTGTTTTAGATCTTTGTGTGTGTGTGAGTGTGTGTGTGTGTATTAGATCTTGTGTGTGTGTGAGTGTGTGTGTGTGTGTGTGTGTGAGTGTGTGTGTGTGTATTTAGTGTGTGTCGTGAGTTGTGTGTGTGTGTATTTAGATCTTGTGTGTGTGTGAGTGTGTGTGTGATTAGATCTTGTTGTGTGTGTGAGTGTGTAGTGTGTGTATTTAGATCTTGTGTGTGTGTATGTGTGTGTTTGTTTTGCTAAGCCGTTACATTATTTTCAAATAATGGAACTCATCAAAGAGTCACATATTTAACGATGCATAAAATTCACAACTATTTTCACATGATTAAAAAACAACTTTAAAACAATCTTTATGTAATTAAAACAATGAAGAAGTTGAGGAAAAAGAAATTGATAAATGGAAGAGGAAGGAAACAGAGGAAAAAATAAAGGAAATACAAGAGAGATGGAGAAGAGGGGAAAATAAAGAACTTGAGAAATTGGAGAAGAGACGAGAGAGAGAGAGAGAGAGAGAGAGAGAGAACAGAGAGAGAGAGAGAGAGAGAGAGAGAGAGAGAGAGAGAGAGAGAGAGAGAGAGAGAGAGAGAGAAGAGAGAGAGAGAGAGAGAGAGAGAGAGAGAGAGAGAGAGAGAGAGAGAGAGAGAGAGACAGAGAGAGAGAGAGAGAGAGGGAAGGAGAGAGAGAGAGAGAGAGAGAGAGAGGAGACAAGACAGAGACAGAGACAGAGACAGAGAGAGACAGAGAAGAGACAGAGAGAGACGAGAGAGACAGAGAGAGAGAGAGAGACAGAGAGAGAAGAGAGAGAGAGAGAGAGAGACAGAGACAGAGACAGAGACAGAGACAGAGACAGAGACAGAGACAGAGACAGAGACAGAGAGAGAGAGAGAGAGAGAGAGAGAGAGGAGAGAGAAGAGAGAGAGAGAGAGAGAGAGAGAGAGAGAGACAGACAGACAGACAGACAGACAGACAGACAGACAGACAGACAGACAGAACAGACAGACAGACAGACAGACAGACAGACAGAGAGTAGATGAGAAAATAAAGGACTTGAGAAACGCAGGAGAGGCTAAAGGAGAACCAGGATAAAGAAGAACCAGAATAAAGAAGAACCAGAATAAAGAAGAACCAGGGAATTCGCGGAGGTTCAAGTGTCAATCAAGATCAGACGATGAAAGTGTAAATAAGAAGTGGGGGAGGAAGAGAAGGATAAACGAGGGAGAGGAATGCATTGGAAGAAGGAGTGAAGGAAAGCGAAAGAGAGGAGAGAGATAAAGGAAGTGAAAGGTATGATTTAGAAGGGAGTGGAAAGGGTGGATAGTGGAAAGTCAGGATAAAGAATGGAGGAGGAAAAATGAGGAAAGAGAAGAGAAGAGGAAAGTAGGGATAGGGAAAGGAGGAGAGATGAGGAAAGTCGGGATAAAGAATGGAGTAAGAAAGAAGAGAAGAGGAAAGTAGGGATAGAAAAAATAAGAGAGAAAATGAGGAAAGTCGGGATAAGGAATAGAATAAGAGAAGAGAAAAGGAAAATAGGGATAGAGAAAATAAAATTGAGAAGTCAAGTTAACGAACGAGGTAGGAGAGGAGAGAGAGAAAAGTAAGAATAAGGAAAATAAGAGAGATGAGGAAAGTCAAGTCAACAAACGAAGTAGGAGAGAAGGAGAGAAAAGTCAGGATAAGGAATGGAATAAGAGAAGAGAAGAGGGAAATAGGGATAGAGAAAATAAGAGAGATGAGGAAAATCAAGTTAAAGAACGAAGTAGGAGAGAAGAAGAGGAAACACAGGATAAGGAATGGAATAAGAGAAGAGAAGAGGGAAATAGGGATAGAGAAAATAAGAAAGGAGAGAAGGAAAGTCAAGTTAACGAACGAAGTAGGAGAGAAGAAGAGGAAACACAGGATAAAGAATGAAAGAGGAGAAAAGAAGAGGGAAATAGGTATAGAGAAAATAAGAAAGGAGAGAAGGAGTCAAGTTAACGAACGAAGTAGGAGAGAAGAAGAGGAAACACAGGATAAAGAATGGAATAGAAGAGAAGAGGGAAATAAGGATAGAGAAATAGAGAGGAGAGAAGGAAAGTCAAGTTAACGAACGAAGTAGGAGAGAAGAAGAGGAAAGTCAGGATAAGGAATGGAATAAGAGAGAAGAGAAGAAGAAAATAGGGATAGAGAAATAAGAGAGATGAGGAAAGTCAAGTTACGAACGAAGTAGGAGAGAAGAAGAGGAAAGTCAGGATAAGGAATAATAAGAGAGAAGAGAAGAAGAAAATAGGATAGAGAAAATAAGAGAGATGAGGAAAGTCAAGTTAACGACGAGTAGGAGAGGAGAGAAAGTCAGGATAAGGAATGTAATAAGAGAGAATAGAAGAAGAAAATAGGGATAGAGAAAATAAGAGAGATGAGGAAAATCAAGTTAACGAACGAAGTAGGAGAGAAGAAGAGGAAACACAGGATAAAGAATGAAAGAGGAGAGGAGTAGACGAGAATAGGAAAAAAACAGTAAATGGCGACTCAATAAATATTCAAATATACATGAATATACACAGAAATATTTGCATATCTGCTTACCTATCTGATAGATATACATTTATCTATCTATCTGTCCTGTAGGTATGGGTGTTTAGACTGATAGATATGTCTTTATTTCTGTGTATATGTATGTTCGTATATTTGATTATTCATGGGGTCGGGAATCGCATAATTCGAATAAATTTGGCCGAATAAATGGAGAAAGGAATTTTTTTTTTATTATTATTATTTTGTTTTATTCTTTTGTTACTATTTATCTTTTCCTTTCTCTGTCTTCATCTCTTCCCCTCATCCACTCCCTAAACTCTCACCTTCCTCTTCCTTATTCTTCTCCCTTCTCTCTCTCTCCGCTTCTTTCCTTCCGTTCTCTGTTCTCTGTCTCTCTCTCTCTCTCATTCTCTCCTTTCCTTTCTCCTCCTTTCTATCCCTCTCCTATCCTCTTCCTCCCTCCTTCCCCATTTTCCTCCATTCCCTCCCACCTTCATCCCTTCCCATCCTTACCCTCATTCTCCCTCTCCCTCCCTATTCCCATCGTTACCCCATCCTCCCTCTCTCCTATTCTCCCTCCCCCTCCTCCACATTTCCCCCAATCCCTTTCCTCCCACCACCCTCCCCTTTTCTCCCTCCCTTCCTTCTCCCATTCTTCCGCGCCCTCCTCTTCCCATCCTTTACCCCCACTCTCCTCCCTCTTTCTCCCATATTCCCATCCTCACCCCTCCCCTTCCTTCCTTTCTTTTCTCCCCCTCTCCTTCCCTTTTCTCCCCCACCCTCCATCCTTCCTATCTACCCCACCCTTCCTTTCTCCCTCCTCCCCACCCCTTCCCTTCCCTTCCTTCCCCCTCCCTCTTCCCCTTCCCTTTCCTCCCACTCCCTCCTCCCCCTCCACCCCGTCCACCCTTCCCTTTCCCCCTCTCCCCTTCCCCTCCCTTCTCCCCTCCCTCCCTTTCCCTTTCGCCTCCCCTTCCTCCCCCCAGCTAACCTGCGTGTACACCAGAGGGATGCTGATCCAGTCGTAGCTGAGCACATCTCACATCTCCACCCTCCCCCCTTCCTCACCTCCCTTCCCTTCCCTCTTTCTTTCCCCACCGCCTCCCTTCCTTCCCCCTCACCCTTTCCCCCTTCCTTTCTCTCCATCCCTCCACCCTTCCTTTTTCTCCATCCATCTCCACTCCCTCCCACTCCCTCCACCTTCCCTCCTGCCCCTTCTCTTTCCTCTCTCCCTTCCTCCACAGCTAACCTGCGTGTACACCAGAGGGATGCTGATCCAGTCGTAGCTGAGCAGCCCTCCGCATAGTCCTCGGAGTCGGTTTATCCGTCGATGATGGTCTTGAGGGCGAAGTCGTCCCGGATCCGGCCCTCCTTCCTCGCCCGGGACACCACCCCGCCCGCCCACACCAGGGGGAGGTAGTAGACCGGGTGGGGCGCCTTGTCCTGGATGGCCTCCAGGATCTTGCGCTCGCCGGCGGTCATCAGGCCTTGGGTGGGAGAAGGGGGTGGAGAAGGGGGGGAAGGGGGTGGAGAAGGGGAAGGGTGGGGGGAAGGGGGGAGGGGGGGATGGGGGGGGAGGGGGAAGAGGGAGAAGGGGAGGGAAGGGGAAGGGGGGAGGGGATGGGGAGGGGAAGGAGAAAGGAGGGAGGGGAGGGGGAGGGAAGGGGAGAGGGAAAGGAGGAGAAAGGGGGAGGATGGGGGTAGGGTGGAGGGGATGGAGGGGAGGGGGAAGGGGGAAGGGGAAGGGGAGGGGGGAAGGCGGGAGAAGGGGAGGGAGAAGGGAGGGAAAAGGGGAAGGGGAGGGGGAAGGGAAGGGGGGAGAGGGATGGGGGTAGGGGAGGGAGAAGGGGAGAGGGAGAAAGGGGGAAGGGGGTTCAAGAAGAGAATTTGGAAATGGATTTTCATTATTATTATTATTATCATCATCATCATTATTATCATTATCATCATTATTATTATTGTTATTATTATTATCATTAGCATATCATAATCATTATCATTATTATTATTATTATTATTATCATTAGCATATCATAATCATTATCATTAGCTTTTAAGAAATACATATTGTATATGTACAGGAATTATTTTATGAAGGAATTATCATTGAAATACGTGTCGATTTAAAATTTCTCGGATGCATAAGAATTACTTAATTAACAAATTATAACCAAAATCACAATATCACGCTTTTTTTCTATCTATTATTTATCTATTTTTATTTTTTTGAGATACAAATTTTGTCTGATGTATTTCGTATTAATTTTGTACCGGTAGTGAGGTAAGTGTATTAATATAAACACAAAACATGAAAATAAAAGAAAATAAAGAAAAATCAATTGGATTTTCCCTTTGACAAAAATATATTGAATTGATAAACTGTAGATATTAATGATGATAAAATGGTTTTATAATTTCAGGAAATATGATATGAAACCAAACTAAAATTCCTTAATAAAATGTTGAAAAAATGATTATTACGAAATCAGAAAGAAAAAAAAAAATAACATCTTCCTCTACTGAGAAATAAAATAACTAATAAAACCAAAAAGAAAGAAAGAAAGAAAAAAGAAAAAAAAATAATAAAGAAAAAAGAAGGTCGGGAAATAAGACCAAAAAAATAACAAACAAACAAACAAACAAACACAAAAATAAATGAAATAAAAAAAAAACAAACAAACAAAAAACCAAAAAATTAAATGAACCCCCCCCCCCCCCCCCCAAAAAAAAAAACGAAAAAAAAAACGAAAAAAAAACCTTACCAGAATCCACCAAATGCTCCAAGGTCGGGAAACGTTTCTTGGCTCGCGGCGTGATCATCGTCAACGTTAGCGTAAACGTTAGATTTACGTAACGCATGATAGTTCTACGCATGAGACGCCCTCTGTTGTCCTGTAATCAAATCATTAATGAGTTTATAAAAAGGAAGTTTTATAAAGGTTATATAATAGGTTTTAATGAGGATTATTAAATTATTATCAAATCATTAAATGTTTAAATTATTAAACTCATCAATTATTTTATGAGTTTAGTGAGGGATTATTAAATTATTATCAAATCATTAAATGTTTAAATGATTAAACTCATTAAATCATTAATGAGTTTAGAAAAAGGAAGTTTATAAAGATTATATAATAGGTTTTAATGAGGGATTATTAAATTATATAATCTGTTATTATATTATTAAACTCATTACATTATCTATGAGTTTAGAAAAAAGGAAGTTTTATAAAGGTTATATAATAGGTTTTAATGAGGGATTTTAAACTATTAACAAATCATAAACTTTTAAAATTATTAAACTATTAAATTTAAATCATTAATGAGTTTAAAAAGGAAGTTTTTATAAAGGTTATATAGGAGGGTTTTAATGAGGATTATTAAATTATTATCAAATCATTAAATGTTTAAATTATTAAACTCATTAATTATCAATGAGTTTATAAAAAGGAAGTTTTATAAAGGTTATATAATAGGTTTTTAATGAGGGATTATTAAATTATTATCAAATCTATTTATTATTAAACTCATTAATTATTATGAGTTTAGAAAAAGGAAGTTTTATAAAGGTGTGTAAGAGGGTTTTAATGAGGGATTATTAAATTATTATCAAATCATTAAATTTTTTAAATTATTAAACTCATTAAATTATCAATGAGTTTATAAAAGGAAGTTTTTATAAAGGTTATATAGGAGGGTTTATGAGGGATTATTAAATTATTATCAAATCTTTAGATTATTAAATTATTAAACTCATTACATTATCTATGAGTTTAGAAAAAGGAAGTTTTATAAAGGTGTGTAGGAGGTTTTAATGAGGGATTATTAAATTATTATCAAATCATTAAATTTTTAAATTATCAAACTCATTAAATTTAAATTATCAATGAGTTTAGAAAAAGGAAGTTTTATAAGGTTATAATAATAGTTTTAATGAGGGATTATTAAATTATTAACAAATCATTAAACTCATTAAACTATCAATGAGTTTAAGAAAAAGGAGTTTTATAAAGGGTATATAGGAGGATTTAATAAGGGATTATTAAATTATTAAATTATTAAACTCATTAAATTATCAATGAGTTTATAAAAAGGAAGTTTTAGAAAGGTTATATAATAGGTTTTAATTGAGGGATTATTATTTATTATCAAATCTTATTTATTATTAAACTCATTACATTATCTATGAGTTTAGAAAAAGGAAGTTTTATAAAGGTTATATAATAGGTTTTAATGAGGGATTATTAAATTATTATCAAATCATTAAATGTTTAAATTATTAAACTCATTAAATTATCAATGAGTTTAGAAAAAGGAAGTTTTATAAAGGTGTGTAGGAGGGTTTTAATGAGGGATTATTAAATGATTATCAAATCATTAAATTATTAAAATAATCATACTCATTAGATTAGAAGAAAGAAGGAAGAAGGAAAGAAAGAAGGAAATGGAGAAGGAAGAAAGAAGGAATGAAGGGAATGGAGATGGAAAAGAGAAAGAAATAACGAAATATAGAAGGAAGAAATAAAGAAAGAAGAAAATAAAAAAAGGAAGAAGCTAGAATAAGAGAAAGAAAGAACAAGATAACGAAGGAGAAGAAGAAACAAAGATGAGAAACACTGTTATTATGGTATTGGTGTCCAAAGAAAACGGAGTGATAGGAGTGACTATTATATTATAGGCCTGTATTTTATTAGAGCTGTATCTTGTGAAATAAAACATGATATGTGATGAGAAAGATATGTATATATCTATATCTATATATCTATATCTACATAGTTATATCGATCTATCTATCAGTTGTGAAGAATAGATTAATAAACAAAGGAAAGAATATGCTTCTTTGATGTTGTATAATGCAAGAATTGAACGGAAATTAAAAGAAAATGGGATTTCATTACTACATGATATCGGCAATGTAAAGAACAATAGAAGAACTAAACTTAATAATAATGATGATAATAATCTGATAAATAATGATAATGATAATGATATAATAATTAATAATAATAATAATAATAATAATAATAATAAATAATATGATAATAAATATAACATTAATTAACAATACGAAAACATAATCATACTAAACGACGATAACATTTATCAATAATAATACAATAATGAATATCATAAAACGTTAACTAAATTTCCTTATGGAAAAAAAAAAAACAAAACATATCATCATGGCCGAGTCTTACCACGAACTAAATAAAGTTAGTTACTGATGCATAAATTGTAACCAAACCTTGTTTATCTTTATTAATTCCTTAAAATTATGTTCTTTTATTTTTCAATAATTTTTAATCGTTTTTAGATTATAATTAAAAAACTTTAAATTTGTTATTTTAATCTTATCAGGGCGAGGTATCGGTTCTGCCGCNTCCCTGTGATAATGGCAACCGTAATGATATTAACATAGGCGTCTGCTTTGGAAATAATTAAGCGAGGTGCATCTTCTGTCTGTCTGTCTGTCTGTCTGTCTATGCCTGTCTGTTCTCTCTCTCACCGCGCGCGCCGCGTGTGTGTGTGGTGTGTGTGTGTGTGGGTGTGTGTGTGTGGTGTGTGGTGTTGTGTGTGTGTGTGTCTGTGTTTGTGATGTGTGTGAACAGTGGTGAATTATGATTAATGAGTGCGTGAATGAGTGCGTTGTCCTTTTTTGCACCAACAGTAAACTAAAAAAAGAGATGCATCTCCATTTTAACCCCCCCTCCCTCCCTCCCTCCTTCCACCTCCCTCCCTCCCTCCCTTTCCTTCCACCCCTCCGTCCTCCTCTCCCTTCACCCCCCCCCTCCAAGCAACTAATTACCTACCACAAGGACTCAATGAACTGTCTCTTGTTCCCCCTTTTCTCCCATCCTTATTCCCTACTTCTTTTTTCCTACTTTATCCTCTCCTTCACTTTCACTTTTCTCTCTATCACATCTTTGAAGAGATTGAGATATAGAGAGAAATTTGCAAGAAAGAAGAAAGAAAGAAGAAATTTAAGAACAAAAAGCAAATAAAGAGAAGAAAAGACACAAAGAGAATCAACAATAAAACAGAAGAAAGAGAAAAAAGAGAAAAGAAGAAAAGAAGAAAACCAACAATAACAACAATATAGACAAGAGAAAGAAGAAAAACGTTTTCACAACAAACACAACCAACAGAGAGAAGACAAGAAGAAAAGAAAAGCAACAAAACAAAACCAACAGAGAGAAGACAAGAGAAAAGAAGAGAAGAAAGAAAGGAAGAAGAAGAAGAAGAAGAAGAAGAGAGAAAGAGAAGAAGAAGTAGAGAAAAGAGAAGAAAAAAAAAAAGCCCCCGAACATACCCCCTTCCCCACTCGCCCCGGGATCTCCAACGCAGAAATCAACTCAATCATGAATCATAATTACCCGCCATAATGACAACCCTTAATGCCGAGAGAGAGATCATCGGCGCCCGTCCCGCTATTCCTCCGAAACAAACAAACAAGCAAACAAGGCCTTACTTTTATTCCTCCGAAACAAACAAACAAACGAGGCCCTACTTATTTCTTAAAAAAAAAAAAAAAAAAACGAACAAAGCACAAGAACATACGAGGCCTTAATTTAATTCCCCCGAAAGAAAAAAACAAACAAACAAGGCCTTACTTTTTATTCCTCTGAAACAAACAAACAAACAAACGAGGCCCTACTTTTATTTCTTAAAAAAAAAAAAAAAACGAACAAAGACACAAGAACATACGAGGCCTTAATTTAATTCCCCCGAAAGAAGAAACAAACAAACAAACAAACAAGGCCTTACTTTTATTCCTCTGAAACAAACAAACAAACAAACGAGGCCCTACTTTTATTTCTTAAAAAAAAAAAAACGAACAAAGACACAATAACATACGAGGCCTTACTTTAATTCCTCCGAAAGAAACAAAGAAACAAACAAATAAGACCTTACTTTTATTCCTCAAAAAACAAACAAACAAAAAAAAACTCAAGAACTAATAAAAGAAAAAAACAAAGCTTATCCCCCTCGAAAACAAACCAGCAAACAAAAATAAACAAGAACAAAATAAGACCTTAACTTACTCCTAAAGAAACAAAAGAATGAAACAAACAAACCAGACCTTACTGTTCTCCCCTCTTCCCCCGATGACGTAACGCAGTGGGCGTGGTCTGGAGGGATGGACGGACTCACCTACAAAAAGGGGAAGAAAAAAATGTTAGGAGGCGAACAAATAAAATGATACGTTCATAATTACAAACACCCACACACACACACACACACACACACACACACACACACACACACACACACCACACCACACACACACACCACGCACACGCCACACGCCACGCACACCCACACACACCACACCACACACACACGCACACTCACTCACCACACACACACACACACACACACACACACACACACACACACCACACACACACACACACACACACGCACACGCACACACGCACACGCACACGCACCCACACCCACACACACACATACACACACACCACACTCACTCACAACACACACACACACACACACACACACACACACACGACACACACACACACACACACACCAACACACACAACAGACACACACACAAACCATCCTTGAGTCAGAGAATTCGCATTTAAAAAAATATATATAATATTCATAAAAACACCAAAAATACAAAAAACGCCAAAAAAAACTCAAAAAGAAACAATAAAACACACACACACACACACACACACACACACACACAACACACACACCACTCACAAACACACACACACACACACACACGCACACACCATCCTTGAGTCAGAATTCGCATTTTGAAAAAAAAAAATAATAATCACACAAAAACACCCAAAAATACAAACAAACAAACGCCAAAAAAAACTCAAAAGAAAACAACAAACAAGACGGAGAGG